CATTTAATAAACCTCAGATCCCTTCCTTCTGTCTGGATGCACTGAGGGGCAGTTTGGGCTCATGCAGGGAAAGACACAGGCCCAACCCAAATGCTCTTTCCTGCCCCAGCTTCATCACAGCTGGACCATATCCCCCAGACCACCCACCCTCCTCTCTGTGTGTCTCCCCACAGCCCTTCTACAACAGCCTGTGTTTACTTCTCGTGGCCCTGACAAGTACAGGCTGATCGGCCTGTCTTTCCCACTGCACTGTGGGCTCCCGGGGCATGGGCAGTCGCTTTTCTGTCTGCTTCTCTGGTACCTACCTGGTGTGGGCTTGTGTGGGGCACTCAGATGTCTACATGCTCATCTAGGAGGTACTGGTGAGCAGAGAAAGTTTGGGGGATGGCCAGCCACTTACCTGTGAAACCTTCCAAGGAAACTGGAATAGAATCTGAGGGTAAATATAGAGGGAAACATGTGGATAAAGGTCAGCCACCATTCTAGGAAATGGTGAAGTGTAGGGAAGATCTCAGAAGAACAGTTGCCTGCTCAGAATATTCTAAACTCTCCAGGGTTCTCCGTGGTGCCTGAAGGCCAGAGGTGTGTATCATTCTCACTTGAAGGTCCTTTATCTCCTCCAGAAAGCCATTCCAACTCCTTCTGCCGCTTGGCTTCTCTATGCCGCTCCTAGCTGTGTGGGTCTCCGTGGGTACTACTGATTTGGGATCATGGGGTTATCTGCCTCACTCCCCTCTAGACTGGTGGTATTCTGTGAGCAGAGTCCTGTTCTCTGTCTCGCTCTCTGGGAAGCAGAGCACATACCTGACAGTCACACTGCGTGCAAAGGAGCAACTGGAGATTCTTGCCCTGGGTCTGGGAGACACTGCCCCAAGGGTTTTGGGTGTGTGTCATGAACCTCCTGAAATTATATGGGAAATTGCATGTGTATGTTCATAAATCTATTTCTCTTTGGAGAGAGCCCACAGTTTGTATTAGATTCTGGAATGTTTTGGGGATCCTACAAATACTAAAAACAAAAACAAGAAACTCAACACACACATTTAGAGATTTCCTACATACTAGTAAAGGCTGTGTTTTTATTAGCTGGGAGATATTTTTATGCTCCCTCGATTTCCAGGTGTGAGCTACTGCTCAGAATAACCCACAGATCCCCTCTTGGAGCCGTGCATGGTGGTTCTGGCTTGGGTGCTGCTGCTCACATATCCTGGAGGGTCCACTTAGGCTTTCTGAGCTTCGTTTTATGTTTCGTCTGTTCATTTAGGTTTGTAATGCCCTCGTGTCCTGCAGGAATGTTGCATAGTAAAGAAATAGGGGTGTTCATATATTTTATAAATTGCCAAGGGCTCTGTAATTGCGGGATGCAAGTGTTATGGTGACAGATGTGTCATTTTTCATGTTACACAGTGCTGAGAGCACAGTAGGCACTCAGTAAATAGATTAAAATTAACATGGGAAGGGTTTATTGGAGTGAAAGTTCTAGAGGCTCGGGTGTCTGCATGTCCCGCACACCCTGTGCAAGGATCTAGTGCTCAGGCCTAGAACACAGCTAGGGCTACTGAGGACATGGTTTTCAAATCGTAGTAAAAGGGGACATGACCTTTCAGATCCCAGATCCATTTGGTGTATTTTCCTGAAGAAATTGAGGCTTAGAGAGACAGAAGCAGATCTACTTATTTTCAGAAGGGCTTGAGATTCCTCCTTACCATTTTTAAAAAATGTTTTATTTATTTTTGAGAGAGAGAGAGAGAAGAGGAGGGACAGAGAGAGAGGGAGACACAGAATCCAAAGCAGGCTCCAGGCTCTTAGCTGGAGCACAGAGCCTGATGTGGGGCTTGAACCCATGAACTGCAAGATCATGACCTAAGCCGAAGTCAGATACTTAATCGACTGAGTCACCCAGGCACCCCCCCTCTCCTCATCACTTTTGATGGGGCGCCTCCCCCCAATCTCATTGCCTTCATATCATCAGTTTGTTGTTTTATCTTCTTATAAATGGTACAGCCTTCACACCACAGTCTTCTTTCTCTCATTGAGGCCATTTAGAGGCCTGCAATTCTTAGAACATGCAGATCCTGTACTGGACACAGGCACATTTCACTATGGAAACTTTGTATCTCCAAAGCGCCTTGCCTCTTGGAATGTTCTCATAGACATCACATGAGAACACTGGTATAGATTATTGCTACCACTGTCAGCTCAACTGAGACCCAGAGGTTACTGTGACTTGTCCAGGCCATAAAACACAGTATACAAAGCAAAATGGAAATCCAGGTGCTCTGATTTTCCATCCTTTATAGCTGCTAGACTCTGTATCCCCACAGAGCATCTCTACTTGATTTTGGCACATTTACTGAATCAAACTAGGAGACTCTAGCCAAGGGAGAGATAGATTTTAGGTGCAAATATATTCTGCTTAGGGCTAAAAAGACTGTGTTTATATCCTCTCACACTCCAGGTCACATATACCTCATCAGACCCCCTCATCAGACCCCTCCCGCCCCCCAGGAACTGACAAAACAGTAACCTGGAAATGTTTTTTTGCTTAATGGTTGTGTGCGTACGTGTGTGTGTGTATTGACTATAATCTATCTATCCATTTTAACAACGTGCAGTGGAGGAGTTTGAAATTACATTGAATCACTGTTTTATAATGAATGATAATTAAATATTACTTTTAAAATAGGCTTTTCTTTTTCTATAATTGCATTACTTTTGGGGGGGGGGGGAGATTTTGTTTTGCTCTTTAACCTGATTGTGTGCATTTGGAAAGTACCCTAGCACAGGGTATCTGAACGCAGAAAATTCTGACATTTTTCCCACTTTCCATTCCTTCTCCTGTATGGATGCCAGATTCCTTTGGGAAACCATCATTTGCTAAAGGTCAGGAGCAAAAGGAGGGGCGTTCTTAGTGTTCAGTTACTGCTAATTAGAAACTAAACATCTGTAACCATGTCAGAGTTATTTGTGTTTGAAAAGAAACATTTATATACAAGAGCCTAGTTCGGCAACATAAAACACACTCTAACCCAAAGTGTGTGTGTTGGAAGGGTGGGGAACAGACAGATGGGGAAGCTTCCTACAAATGACCCAGCTTGAGTGAGGTCATTTGCTAATTAAATCTCAAAGCGTTTTCAGAGTATTTTCTTTTCTCTGTCAAGTGAAGTTTTCTCACTCCCCCCCACCCCCATCACGGGCCAAAGCAAACGTTTTATTGCGTTTGCCCATTAAAGATTAAACATTTAATCATTTTAAAGGAAAAATAGAAATGCGTGATTTGGCAGAACCTCGTCAAAAACCGTTGGGAAGTCTCTAGCTACCTGCTGTAACGTTAGCTCCCAGTGTCTTCCCATAGTATGATGTAAGGTGAGTTCTCCATCCATAAAGTGTGTGCTGATTGACCTGTCTCACAGATGTACACTTGTAGGGGGAAAAAAATGACCCAAGGTTTGACTTCCCCTGTGCCTCTTTCTCCACTCTTCCTACCCCACTCCCCATGATGAAATTCTCTTTGGACCATTCCATTTGTACATTAATTAATCTGTTCTTTTATTGTCATATTAAGGTAAATGTCAGTGTTACCTCTGGGGTATTAGAAACGTTACAGTGGTAGGACTTTGTGTGTCTGCTTGCTAAGTCTACGTGGCCACATGGCCCTAATGACCCAGATCTTAGCAGTAATACCTTCTTGGAATAGTAATTAATTTTGAAAACAGAACGAGAGACCTCTCTTTCTTCCACAGAGTCTACCATCTTCTGATCTTCCCCATCCTTGTCTTGACGTCTAAGATATTTCTATAAGTTGAGTTACTTTCTAAATTGGGTAAAAAATCATGGAGTCTTAAGAGTTCTCTAGTTAAGAACTTACTTGAGCCGAGACTTACCACATTGGGCTTTCCTCTCAAACAATACTATCTCTGTGAAGGCTTTCAAGTGCACAATTTCAACAAAATGGTTGTGGACTCTCAGGTTCTGAGTGTTTACAAAGTCAAGAGGCTCTTAGATGACCTGCCTTTCCAATGACCTTTGTAGAATCTCAAAATCCCACTTGTCCGTGACTTTCACTTTAAGAACTGGCTTTTCTTCAAGCTCTTTGGGTGTGAGTCAGCCCAGAGGCAAGGATTCAGTGACTTGAGGGTCCAGCTCTTGTTCTCTTGACAATAGTTCAAGATCTTGTAGTCTGCCGTTTGTGGCACTCCCCGGTCTGGCCAGACCCACTTCTCAGCCTGAAGTTCCACTGTTATTTCTGAGCCTCTACTTCAGTCAGATACATCTACCTATACCTTGAGCATTTTCTCCTTGCTTTATACCACTGTTTCTGGTTGAAACAATTTCCTGGTTTCGGCCTTCTGGGAACCATGCTTGCTTTCTTTCAATCCTTCTCAATACCAGAATCTACAGTCTTATCCTCACGTAGCCATAATATGAAGATCACTTGCATATCGTTCTTCCAGGACTGTCTTGTGCTTTTGCGGCATCTTTTCAAATGTACTGCCCCTCTTGCCATCCAGAGTATAGGCACCCCAAAGACCACAATGACTTTTATTTCTCATGGCACCTACTATTTGTTCATTTTGAGTGCTCAGTGAATAGTTGTTTGATTGTTGAGGAGGAAGCTATTTTTTGCTACTATTTATTGACTCATTCCCAAAGCCTGTCTGCATTTATTTCTGTGATCGAATCATAGATATTAATGATATTTATATGAAACAGAAAATCACCTGTAGAACCAACACTAACACATACACACCATCATTGGAATAAGGGAAGTATTAAAAACAAAAAACAAACCAACATTTGGAATAAGGAGGAACTCCCATTCCCGACCCCACTCCCCCTCAGCTTGGATGTCCCAGCTGGAGCTAGATAGAACATCAGCATGTACAGAATGACATATATCCAAAAAAAATTCAAAACAAACAAAAAAGAACATTAGTACGTACAAAGGCATGGATGTGGAAATGAGTATTGAATGGTCTTGTGTTTTTATGTCTCCCCAGATGCGGTCACTCCCCTGTCTACCGCTCCCGTGAGATGGCAGCTCGTGCCTTGGTTCCGTTTGTTATGGTGGATGAAATCCCCAATACCATCCGAACTCTGTTGGCCAAACTCCCCAACTCCACCGATCAGTGTTTCCGGCAAAACCATATTCATGGGACGCTTCTCCAGGTAAATAAAGTTACTTTGTGTCAAACCGCACAGGATAAACTTTGGTTTCTCGCCTACTGTTTGCAGGTGAAGATTTGATACACAAGCTTTTAACTTTATCCGTAGAACTCTTTTCTATTGCTGAAAAGGACTGGTATTTCCTAGGTGTGCTTTTTTCATTACAAACATGAGTACAGCATCACACTGTGATTCAGTCAGATCGTCTTTTGCATTAAATCCTGTATTTTTTACTTCATGCTTTCTTTCCCATCTGGACATAGCTCTCTGAACCAGATAAAGTTCTGTCTTTTCCATCAAGTGCCTACCGACTATTCTGGGCCACTCCCTGTTCAAGGTGAAGTTGTGAACATTCCTTGAAAGAGAGGAAGGAGAATTAGACACATCAGGGAGAGTTTGTGCTGTGGCATCACACATAGAAATGCCAAGCCCTACTCTCCTGTTTTCTCAGTGCTACAAAAGAGACTTTTTATTTTTAATAAATATACAAATACACTTACTGCTTTTAACTTAACATTTCCCCCACAAAGGACCAAAGCACAACAAATGAATGAGAAAGAAACTTCTTACCGGAACTGTCTTTTTTAAACCCTAAACGATAAACTTGGGAACGGGTGGTACTCGACACGTCTGTTCATGTGGCTGCTGGGATCACTCATGTTGGGGCGGGATTGGGGGTGAGATTCAAGTAGCAAGTCATGTTTGTGGTTTGTGAGCAGAGTTGAGGAGTGGCCTTGAGATCCCAGGATGTGCCATAAGGTTGAGGTCTCTGCTGCCGACACGAGAGGCACCGTATAGAATGGTTAATGGCCTGGGACTCTGGAGCCAGACTGTCTCAGGGTCAGTCTCACTACTCACTGCCTGCACATCTGCAATTGTTTTTTATGTTATTACTATTATTATTAAGTTTTTTTATTTTAATTACAATATAGTGAACATACAGTGTCGTGTCTTCATTTTTGAAACAAGGACAACAGTGATATAAACCTGCTAGGGATTTTGTGAAGATTAAATGAATTAAAGCATATAAAGTGCTTAGATTAGTACCTGGTACATAATATGATATAGAGTTACTATTGTTATAGTTTTAATGAGCCTGTACTATAATGAAAACTAAGATTTTTAGTAACTAATTCCCTCTAGGTGAGAATGAATGCAAGATAGGCCTGTCTTCATGCCTTCCTTTCTTGGTTGTTACATATATTCAGCAAGTATTTGTTAAATGTATTAAATGCCTCCTACGTACCACTGTGTCCATCAGAACAGTGACTAAGTCGGTTCTTGCACTGAAGGAATCCAGGACAAAAACAGCCCTCTGAGAACGAGCAATCACCATGTAGTGTGCTAAGTGCTAGAGGAGCACCTAGCAGGGCCACCTGACTGGTTTTGAGGGAGTCAAAGGAAAGCTTCCCAGAAAAAGTGACCTCGAAGTAAAGGCAGAAAAAGCCAAGCAAAAGGTGGAGGGAGAGCCCCCCACGCAGAGAGAACGGCATACAGCAGGGCTCAGGATGGGTGACAAGTCAGCCCATCTGGGAACTGCAGGCTTGGGTGGGATGAAGTTCTAGGTTGGCAGGTCACAAACTGGTCTCAGGACCTCTTTACCCTCTGAAAAGCTATCGTGGATTCCCAAAACACTTCTGTCTATCAATATTTAATTAGAAACTGAAACAGGAAATCTTAAAACACAAGAACTCACAAGCACACATTCCATTAGTCATTATTAGAATGCTGACATCATCACTCACCTTGTAGCCCCTGGCAAACCCCACCATGTGCCATCTGTATGAGAAGGAGAATAAAGGGGAAAGGAATGTGTTAGTGGCATTGAAGATAGTTTGATCTTGCAGACCTCCTGAAAAGACTGCGGCCCCCAAGCGACCAGAGCAGATCCTCTGGTCTATGTGGTATATATTGGGGGTCTTTGGTGGTCTCTTCAGTGCAGTCTCTCAAGCACTCATCTCCCTTGGTCCTCACTATATCTCAGTGATGACGAGAGGGCTGGAGGGTATTATCTTGGTTTTAAACGTGGGACCCTGAGGCCCATGTCTCGATTCTCTGTCGGACACTACTCTGAAGGGAAGGAGCTGGCAATTAGTGAGTAATGAAGGACATGCTTTTCACAGATGCCTCGATTCTGCATCTGAGTTAGAGGCGGGGGTCAGATTGTCAAGCAGGAGGCGGGTAGTGGGGATCAGCCATCAGATCTTCTTTATTGCAGATCCATTCTTGGCTCAATCTTGTCAGAAGAGGTTGGGATTGCTTCTTTGGCTGGCTCGCCACTTGTACAAATGGGCCTCCCAACCTCGTTTCCCACACACAACACTAACAGGTCTGGCTTGTGTCTCACCAGTCTGCCCAGCAACAGAGCATGGTCTTCTGCTCTGTCTCTGGGCTGCCTTTGATATCTCCAATTTACTTTTTCTGTGACCTGAAGGGTGAAACACCGTGGAAAAGTAAAAGCCTTGTGACTCCAGGTTGGTTGTGGCTGTTGCTTTTGTTCCTGAGTATTGGGAGGTAAAGGGAGATGTTTTGTTGAAAACAAAACAAAACAAAATAGTATGGGTGTTCGGTATCATGTTCATGTTTGTCAAACAGATTCCTGTCTTTACCCAGATTGGTTTATATCCTGGTTGAAAAAAGGAATTCAAAGGCATGTGAAAATCTTTCTGTCATATCCACTTGGGTGTCTCATCTGTGTTGTAATAGCTGTGTTTCACTCTGTTGTTCTTTATGGGGGAAACGCAAGGGGTTAAGACGGAAAGGGTTCTTTTTCTCTTTCCTTTCTACAGTTTATGGATTCCTTCTCCACATGGAGTTACCTTTGAAATCAGTAAAAGGCTGGGAAAAGGGGTGTTAGGGATTGAAAGGCATGAGAATCTCCATGGGACTTTCAGAGCCAGCTAAGTAAATATAAAATTGTTATTTTTTTTTCAGAGGGAGGAAATCATTTTGTAATCAGAAAACAAATTCTTCCACAGAACATTTTCTTGAATTATACATTTTGGCTTCTTTGAAAAATGTTTACATAAAAATATCAAACCTCAGAGTATTTCTATAGAATACCTTGAAAATGAGAAATATGCTGATCTCTGAATTTTCCGAGGCGATGGAAGAAAGACTCAAATTATAGGACATGCATAAAAAGAAAACATATGAAAATCGTTTCTTAATCATTTTAAAAACCAGAGGTTCCTAATTGCAGTGTTGACATGGATGGAAGTAACACACATGAGAAAAGGTGAGATTATGCAGCCGGTTCATAAGAGCCAATGGTAAATGACATTAAATCTCCATAAAGGCTAGATAAGAGCCATGGACATTACCTCATTTGGGAACAACACTGGCTGGCAGGGCTACCCTGTCTTTTAAGTAGAATTAACCGTCTGTTTTTCTTGCCAAAATTCTTCATGTTGGGGCCTTAACATTATTACTAGGTTACTTATCACTCCCGAGAAATCATATTGGCATTAAAAAAGTTCTCTTGTGTTGAAGAAGAGTTTTGGCCAATGATTATGAGGTAGGATGTATTCTGATTTGGGGGCACTTAAGTCACATTTTGGTGTCTCGTAAGGAAATATATACCATTTGAAATAGAAGTTTGAATTTTGGGTTATTTTCATTTTCTTTTTCTTTTTTAAGCTTATTTATTTATTTTGAGAGAGAGCATGCTCATATGCACGTGCGAGCTGGGGAGGGGCAGAGAGAGATAGGGAGAGAGAGAATCCCAAACAGGCTCTGAGACAGCACAGAGCCCAACTCGGAGCTCGATCCCACAAACTGTGAGATCATGACCTGAGTCAAAATCAAGAGTTGGGCGCTTAACCAACTGAGCCACCCAGGTGCCCCGGAATTTTTTCATTTTCTATTTTGGTTCTTTTTTTCATGATATAAACACACAAGCGGTGGTCCCTACTCTTTCTTTACCTAAGCTCTCTTATATGAGTAAGGTGAAAAGACAGCTGAGGTAATTCAGCCTCTGTTGAAGCAGAAGAACCACTTTTGCATTTCTCTGAATGAACATTCTAGGCAAAGGTATTCTTTTTTCTTCAGTTAATCCAGACAATCTCCATAGTTCTAAACACCCCTTTGCTGGGATTAAATTTTCTCAGTCTTTACCAGCAGAATCTGTTGAACACCGTGTTTAATTCTCTTACTCCTCCATCCCCTCCCCCTACCCAAATTGGGAACTTTGATGTTTGCACTTTGGGAATCCTGAGCCACTTTTCTGGCTGTGGAGCTGAGCGGCAGTATTGCACTCTTGGGTTGACATGAAATATTAACCGGAGATGGACTTCAGACAGCCTAAGCCCACACATTTGGTGAGATTGCCATAAGAGAAGTAAAATGAACGTTTTGAGCACCACCTGTATGCTGCATAAAATGAATATGTGATTTCATTAATACTCTCAGCAATCCTGCAAGATGTTTAGAAAATGGTACCTCCTGATAATTGATGTGAATAACAACTTTTTATGTCTTAGGGAAACCAAGCAAAGAATCCAGCTTTGCTTTGTCTTTATTCCCTTGTCCCTGAGTCCTGAAATCTGGTTTGATGCTAGAAACAAAGTAAGTCCATTGGTATTAGAAAGACAGAGGAGGTATTAGAAGACACCTGGATGGCTCAGTTAGTTAAGTGTCTGACTCTTGATTTCGGCTCCAGTCATGATCCCAGGGTTATGAGATAGAGCCCTGAGTTGGGCTTTGCGCTGAGTGTGGAGTCTCTCTCTCTCTCTCTCACTCAAAAAAAAAAAAAAAAAAAAAAAAAAAAAAAAAAAAGAAGGACAGAGGAAGTCACTGACATCCTGAGAGGCTACAACCAACTAATAAGACATTTTTTTTTCGTATAGTTGACACACAATGTTACATTATTCTCAGGTTTTCAACGTAGTGATTCAACAACTCTATACATGATGCTGTGGTCACCACAAATGTAGCTACCATCTGTCCCATTACATCACTGTTACAATATCATTGACTATATTCCTTATGCTCTGCCTTTTATT